CAGAGCGCTGCGCCCCCGGGCGCGCTGGTAGCCCAGGCGGCAGCGGAGGAAGGAGCTGTCTTCGTGCTACCAGAAAGAAGGTTCCCGCTTCCCTACCTACTTTCGAGGTGGGGCAGTTTAGGCCTTGACCTGGGAAGGTCCAGACAGCTAGTTCAAGCATCTGGGTAAATTTTGAGGGCATTACAAAGCCCCGGACCTCAAAAGGCCCGGAGTCTGCGGCCTGGCTGGTAGCCCAGGCGGCAGCGGAGGAAGGAGCTGTCTTCGTGCTACCAGAAAGAAGGTTCCCGCTTCCCTACCTACTTTCGAGGTGGGGCAGTTTAGGCCTTGACCTGGGAAGGTCCAGACAGCTAGTTCAAGCATCTGGGTAAATTTTGAGGGCATTACAAAGCCCCGGACCTCAAAAGGCCCGGAGTCTGCGGCCTGTCCTTTTAACAACAGTAAAGAGAAATTAATGAACAAAGCCAAGAAAGAGCAGACTTGCAGCCTGGGGCCTGTCTCAGGGAGACCCAGGCCTGTGCTCTCCCAGGAAAGACTGTTTTCCCTTATGCACCTTAAGGGACCCTTCCCGGTTCTTTTGGGCTAAACAGTCTACTCAGCCCGTACTTTGGAAATATTGCACCTTGTTTATTGACTCCTGTAGTGTATGGCAGCGGGTGTGTACACGGCGTGTGGATATAGTTATACATAGATAATATGTGCTCAATACAGAATATGAAACAGAAAGGAAACCTGGTAACACCTCCGGTGGGCCACCAGGTCCTGGGTTAGTTCAGCGCAGCCTCCCCCTAACCCCCAACTTTGTACTTCACTGGGCTGGTTTCCCTGCAGAGTCCTTCGTTGATAATCCGGAGAACCGGCTGAAGTCTCCACTGTGAGGATAGGAGGGTGGAAAATGAAAATCAACCGTGGTGTGGCGCTTCGGGCCCCCGCAAAGGGATCAGAGGATCTGTGGAGAGCCTGGGATTTCTCAAGCCGCGATCCCTATTCTCTTTTTCTTGCCTTTATTTCTTCTTTCTTTATTTTTTATTTTTATTTTTATTTTTATTTTTGGTCCAGGTTCCCCGCCAACGCTTAGCGGCTGAGGGCAAGAAACCTTGCTTTGGGAAAACAAGCGGCAGCCCGAGTTCCAGTCTTTTGCCCTCCCCTCTGGGCCAGGGCTTGGAGCCACAGTCCTCCCAGGCTCCAGGCCAGCGTTTTTCGACTCAGTAGCCAGTCTTGGCAACCGGACCTGAGCATACCCCTCGACCGAGTCCCCTTCCCAGGCCTAGATTGATACGCGAACCGAAGCTCTGGGGAGCAAGACTTCTATTTTTGGGGTGTTTTTGTTTTTATTTTAACGAGGGGACCAGATCCTTGGCTCTGGCCTTTCTCGCATTGCATCCCCGTGGCGCCAAGCTGTCCCTACCAGGCCCGAATGCCCTGCAAGGTGCCCTGTGCACAAGAGGCCCCGGCGGCTGCTCCTTGATGCAAGGGCTGTGCGCCGCCACCGCCTCCGAAGCCTCCCAGGTTGCTCACGTTCACAAAGGACCCGGTTCCCGACGCGCTGCAGGCTGGCTGCATGGCCGAGGCGGCCGCCGAGGACCCC